GCACTTTCTATTACTACCACTGTGCACTCATCCCATTTTTATATGAATCAACAAATCTAATTGTAGTCTAGATGTAATGTCTTTATTTTTTCWTTTTTTTTCTTGCAAGGGTTGAAAATAATTTCCAATATTTTATAGTGCCACATGGATTGAGTAGAAGTACTCAATCATGTTAGCATGCCATTTAAAGGCAATTATAAATTGATATACACCTTGTCATAGGGACTTTGATATACACCTTGTCATAGGGGTTTCTCTCTCATTCTGTTCTTGGAAAGCTGACTGTTTTCTGGCACATCTGGAACTAACATTAATCTTTCCCTACCCTGCAGCCTTGATGTTTCTGAGGTGCCAAGTATGAATTACTGCAACCAGTGGTCTTAGCATTTGAAATATCTAACTGGTAATGCCTAGTGACAGAATTTTTAGACTACTTGCTGGAGCAGAAAGCCAAGAGCGCACTAGGCAAGCTGGCCACTACGTCGCTCTCTCTACTTTGGAGAACTCATATCCCCTACCTTGGTTCAAAAAATGAATCTTTATGTCTATTGCCAGGAGGTGAACTTCACCAATAGCCACATTATTTTTTATTACAATAATCCCACAGTGAGGCCAGGAATGAGGCTCCACTGGGGGAACTACTGTACTAAAAAATGTAAGACAAATGATAAGACAATGTATCAGCCAAGGAGAAATCATTGGTACAAGAGTCTAAATAAAGATAGGGAAAAGGAAACAGAGATTTATGGGTTGCAAACTTTTCAATTTGGTACCAGTAGCTTTTCCAAAACATCAAGAGAAAAGAAAAAAAGCCATCTGTGAACACACAATTACAGATCTTCAAAAAGACTATTCTGAGTGATGTGCCAGCTGCCTTTATACAATTGATGCATGTAGTTCTGGTCTTTAGATTACAACCCCGGTGTTGATAGTTGTCACAATTATTGGTGCCTTTCTTAAAGCTTCTGTCCCTGTGACTATTTGAGCATGTGAACATCTCATTCATTATTTTTTAAAAATAAATACTTTCCAATATCATATTGAGAAGGAAAAGCAAATGTGTGAACTAAGTGAAATCTGGAAGACTGAAATGCAAAAAAAAAAGAAAAAAAAAAAAGTAAGGACAGAATATGAAACAACAAACATGATTATAAAGGCTTACTTAAGATTTTCCAGGCTTAGATGATTTGTTAGTGTCTTGATCTGACAATACTTTGTATAGCATTTGTTTGGATTTTGTCCAGTTAAACATTTCTCAGTCTGCATGGTGCTGAGGAGGTGTGGAAAATTATAATAATTTAAAATAGATAAAATCTTTTACTCCTGCCATATGTTTGTGTATCAAAATCAACAATGTTCTTTCAGGCTCTCAACTAACATGACAAAATGCATAGGTGGGGTAGATATCATAATCCATTACTAGTTTTGCCCTATCCTCATTATAAATGCCTTGCTTTTGGTGGCTTATTCCTTGACAAGATCTGGTGCATTCCAAAATTTTCAGCCTGTGACAAGTAAGATATTCCCAAGCATGATGCCAGTAAACAGGAAGCTCTTGAGTTATCAAGAACTGTACTTTTAACACATGTATTTCTTTATGGGGCTTGATATTGTGAAAAAGCATGATATATCTTAAATTTAATAAAGAAGATTAACGTGATAAAGCTGAAATTGGGATACAATATATAGCCTTATTACTGAAAACCTGAGTTTTAACTTTACAGTAAATGCAAGGGTGTTATGTGCATTTCTCATTTCAGTCAAGGAAGTTCCAGCTCAGGTTGAGAAATAAGTGGTTAAACAACAGTTACTGATGTGCCTTTCCTAGACGTGCATGGAACAAACAGTTACATTTTTTCTGCAGTAATTCTGATAAGCTCTTAAATATCCTCTGCTGCTCCCCTCTTCCTCTGCTGCCCACTAGCAGTCCACAGACTGAAAAGCTGTAACACGAATTAGTGCCGTCGAAGCATCAAGTAGCTCACTTGGTAACTGCTTCCTATCTGCATCTCCACGTTTCTCCTGCTCTTTCAGCTCTTACTTATAGACTCGCTGTGTGTTTGTGGATGAGTCTTGCCCTGTGCAAAACACAGACATTAGAGTTCTGTCAAAATAAGGATTATGACACCGCTGTGCTCAGTATAGAGAGGTGAAATGATAAATGCTTGTATACACGTGTGCAGAGTGGAAGTCATTGGGGGAGAAGGCTGGTTAAGACAGGCTCCTCTGCAGAGAACACTCATCACTGTTCTGGAAAATAAAAACAAAAATGAAACAAAAAAACCTCCACTATTTTAAAAGTGATACTTAAAAAAAGAAAAGAAAAAAAAGAAACAAGTGCAGCTTCCCAACTCAGATTTAAAATGTGAAAGTCACCTCCTGTGTCCTAACCTTTCTTTGTACACAGAAGGACAGCAACGTGACACACACACTATGTACTGGTCAAATCAATTTCTTCTAATTTAAGCTAATATACACCCCTTGTATCTTCCCTAGGAGATATTTAAAGATCTATGTGTTATAATCCCTACTTCTCTATTACGTATTGAACATAGATCTATTTTTGCCCTCAGCTCTGTATTAGTTGCAACACTTTATCTAGGATGAATGTYCCAAAAATACTCAGAAAAAGGTGGGCAGAACATCCCACCTTGGATAATCTTGTAGCCTTCCCTAGCTTTGTTGTCTTTACTGTCTTTGGGTCATTTTATCCCAAAACCTTTGCCTTAGGAAAGGGCATATGGGCACGAGCTCCGTTTTTAGCCCGCGGCAGCAGCTAGTGATAGTAGCTGAGGGGCTTGCATTCCCAGAGGGATGGCCTGGGAGCACAGAGCCTGCACCGCACTGGGAAATTATCCACGAGCTTCTGAAGGAAGCCGGTTAAACCTGTGTGCGCACCGTGGGCACCGAGCTGTCCCTCCGCCGTGTGCGGGAGAAGGGACGCTGTGATATCCCTGGGGAACAGCGGAGCGTGGAGCTGCGGGAAGGGATCTTTGCGCCCTGCAAGCTGCTCCTCGGCAAGCGGGAGCCCCACAGATGTACTGAGCGCCATGAGGAAGGCGCTGACACAGGGCTGAARGGTTTGAAACGTGTGCGCTTTGCTGCACACAGCGACAGCGTGCTCTAGAAAACAGCTTTTCTGAAATAATTTAGACAGTTTTAATACAGCTTGGCCTGTAAGTCTGGGCAGCTGATGATGCAACAAAGACAAAACAAAAAAATCCTAAAACTTTGAAACTGAATTTWAAAAAAAAGCATGATTTTCACTTATGGAAGCCAGAATCAAAATTCTGAAAACAAAGAAATTGAACCTACTTAAGAAAAAAAAAAAAAGTGGATTTTTTTTTATGGAAAGGGTTTCATGGGAATTTTCAGGAAAGCAGCGTGAGTAATGTGGTCTGTTGAGTGTTATCTGGTGTTATTCATGCCTGCTACAGAGACCGGGGCAAGGTTTAAAAACTCAGGTGYATCTTGCAGCGGTCGCTCCCCGTTGCCTTCCCTGCCACCTCAGCGCTGTTGCCCTTGCAGAGGCCACCARACACTCAGGGCTTGCAGGCACCGGGGCCAGGGGTCCCGTTCTGACATCCAGCCGTGACCAGGACTCATTGCATGCGCCCGTCTCCAGTGCCCGAGCGCGCGGATCGTGGCTCCAAACCACATCGCTGCRATTTTGGGAAAGTTTGCTTCGGAATTTAAGCAAGCACACACATTTATGTGATTTCTGCAAGTAAATAGCAGTTGATTCGGGAACGAGTTATTTATTGACATGTAGTGATGCCAGAGACCAAGACAAGTATAAAATATCTTGATGTTTAATAATATTCATTACAAAATCCTTGGAATGTCCTAGAATGCTAAATTATTCAGAAATCTTAAATATACATTGGTTATAACTCAGGGATAATTATCTCTAACTACCTACATATGTGCATGTATAAATACATATATCCCTCTACCCTGTAATTTTCTCAAATCCTGAAATTCCCAATTCTAAGAATGTAAGTGCCCCGATGCAGAAATCTGCCTTGCACAGGATCCACCAAAGAAGGAATCTATGGCAACAGATGTTATTTCTTGGTAGAAGAAGAAATTAAGATTCACTGAATATAATTTAACATGGTCCTCAAAAAAACAGGAGTGGAAACTCAGTTATTTCTCATATGAAACTTGAATTTAATGATTGCTTTTAGAGATTATTATCTTGCCTGCTAGGTGGTATTTTTATTATCTGTAATTTGCTCTTAGCTTCTCCTTTGTTTTCCAATGTGCTTTTGACCAAAGCCAATATACAATTTAGTTCTTGCCTACCTATTCCCAGAGTTCTGGGTTTCTGAACCAGTATTTAGTCTGATCCAYTGTCAGTCTCACAATCTCTGTTTTAACCCGTGCAATCTGTAGGACTGTTTCTACTGTCATGCTTATGCTATAGAGCTGTTTCACAGGTACTTCTTTCATACTTGCTAAAGTCTCCTGACAAATAAAGACCTTCTGGTTTTGTCCCCGGTGACCCATTACCAAGATATTTCATAGCCARATTTTACAGCGGTTTCCTGGTCTGTTCCCAGGCAGGTGAATTAAGTTGTTAGTATAATATCAAGGTCACTCAGTGCCTTAGTGACTGAATTAGTCACTAATCCTCGAGTGTTGAGCTTCCAAATAATGATGCACTACAGGTCTTGGCCTGGCCTTCCAGTGCTTGGCTTGTTGCTGGATTATTCAATTAATTAACGTGGCAGCAAATGTCTTCATTACACAGTTAGCCCTATGGCGGCCCGCCCCATGGGGCACTGCGCATGCGCGCAGCGCTGCCCGCGCCGCCGCCCTCGCGGAAGGACTACAACTCCCAGCATGYCCTTGCGCGCAGGCGCACTGAGCTCCGCCGGTGGGCGCCTCCCCACCATGCCGCCCAGCAGAAATTAAACAGCTAGCTGGGGGAATTTATTTTAAATATATATCTATTCAAAGCAAACACAAGCGGGAGAAATAGGCGGWCCAGACCCAGAGGGTGGGCTACGAAGGAAAAGTAGCTTTCTCCCGCGCTCTCGGCGGGCGGAAAGTGTRGATCGCCTGGGGTGGCGTCACTTCCGGTGGCCATTTGGCGCGGCGGGGCGGCCGTTGGCCCGGAGCGTCGCCGCCGCCGCCGCCATCATGACGGACCGTTACACGATCCACAGCCAGCTGGAGCACCTGCAGTCCAAGTACATCGGCACGGGCCACGCCGACACCACCAAGTGGGAGTGGCTGGTGAACCAGCACCGCGACTCCTACTGCTCCTACATGGGCCACTTCGACCTGCTCAACTACTTCGCCATCGCCGAGAACGAGAGCAAGGCGCGCGTGCGCTTCAACCTCATGGAGAAGATGCTGCAGCCCTGCGGGCCGCCCGCCGACAAGCCCGACGAGTCCTAGCCCCGGCCGGCGCGAGGGAAGCGGCCGCCGGGGGCCGCCGAGCCCCGGCCCCGCCGAGCGCGGCCCCGCCGAGCCCCGAGTGGCGGCCGGGAGCGTCGAGCGCCCTGCCCCCGTGGCCGTCTCCTTGGGCGGCAGCAAGGACCTCTCGGGAACGCTCTGTGACATGTCTGCTTCGGGACTGCTTGTTTCTCTTCATTCCACAACTGTTCATATTTTAAAAAAAAAAAAAAAACACGGAAAATAAATGTTACTGGGCATTTCTAATGCTTCACCTGGTAATTGGCTGATCAGAATAGGAACTCTTTGAAAAGGAGTGGTTATGCGTATGTGTTTCCATGTGCCCTTTTGAAGTGTCATATATGTGAAAGATGGCATTTTCTTAAGCCTGCCTGGCTGATGCTTGCCAGAGCTTTGCTTGGGGAAAGGTTGGGGGAAGCTTGTTGACGCTTATAAGGTGTGTTTGGGAATGAGTGTTTATTGTGTGGAATGACTTTTTGGCACCGTGTAAATCAACTGTCCAGTGCCCTAAAACTCCCCAGTGTCTTGGTTTTTAATACTTCTATTTAAAAAAAAATTTTTTGTAAAAATCCTTTTAAAACTTCCCTGTCTTTCCTGTTTCCCTCTCTTCTTTCATGTCATCTTTCTTCTTTCTTGTTTATTGCTTCTCATTTTTTCTTTCTCTTTTTGTGTTTCTCTTMTTGTCTCTCCTTTTGCCTTTACCCTTCTTTCCTTTTGGCGTTTTTCCACTTTCGCTTTCCTTGCATCATTTTTCCCTCCTCGTTTCTGGCGGACACAGCTTGTCCCCGGGCAGCCCGCGTGGCGAAGCCCGCAGCGCCCTGGGCAGCGTCACGGGCAGCGCTGCCGGCAGGTCCCGGGGGTGACGCTGCCCCTCTGCTCGGCGCTGCAGAGGCCGCCGCCGGAGTGCTGGGTCCCGTGCTGGGCTCCATGGGACAAGAGGGACCTGGAGCGAATGGATGCATCCCTGTATGTGAAGAGAGCGTAAAGAAGATGGAGCCAGGCTTTTCAGAGGTGCCCTCTGAGAGGACGAGATGCGAGGGGCCCCAACTGAAGTGCAGTCAATCCCACCTGGATCTCGGAATCACTTCTTTGCTGTGGGTGGAACCGAGCACTGCACAGGTTGCCCAGAGAGGCTGTGGAGTCTCCGTGCTTGGAGTACTCCATAGTTGTCAGGATGCTGTGCTGGGCAGCCTGCTCGAGCTGCCCCTGCGTGGGGTGGACGGGCCCTGGTTGGACTGCCTGATCCCTAGTGCTCCATTCCAGCCCAGCTGTTGGGGATTGCGCGAGTGATGCCGTTCCTGGCTGCTCCTTCACACAGCAGAAGCTCGAGCTCGCC